ATAATTTTCATAGCCAGACCCTTTCCGAATGAAACCTTTTTGGGAGTACTTCTTCTTAGTTTCGCAAACGTGCAAAGAGAACAAACAGAGGACATCGCCGAATCGTTTACAATAGAAGTGATATGTTTAATAGTCTTTTAGGTCCATTGTTGTGAATACAGGGTGGGCAAAGCAGCGAATTGATAACTAATTCAGTACTGATTACAATAGAATCGAAACCCTCCTCAATTAGGGAAAAAGCGACCTCGTCGAACATAAAGGAACTCAATGGGTTTTCGCAATCGAACTCTAAAACAGGCTTTGTCTCTTTTACAAACAGTACAGCCCATGGTAATTATTTTATCACATCGGATTTCACACCTTTGTATTGAAAAAGAAAGCTTCTTCAATTAATTTCATACGTGCAGTCGTAGCGTATGAAAACAATTCACTTGGTGTTTTTTTAAAAGCATCGCGTAAAAAGCGTGTAGATCGTGGAGAACGGGAACATTTCACTCAAGGCGAGGAAAGGCATCAGATAGCATTTATAGATTGAATCCACTTTATCGCAAAGGCGAGAGCTCCTTGTCGCCATAATATAAACAAATAATTTTCTATCCTCTGACACAGTACCAATTAGGAATCGTTAATGGTCGGGAAAATCGCTATGTTCACCGACATCGCTGCAGATCTGAAAAAAAGTTTTGGGTCAAAAGATTGGGGAAAATGGCTTTATAGCACTCTCTTGTTATCAGTAGGCAAAGGAATAGCGTTGGTCTTCTCGTACAGAGAGGAAGAAATTGTTCAGAAACACACATCCTGTCGATAGAGCAATTAAAGTACCAATAATAGGAATGAGAGCGCAATTCGCTAAAAGACTGTGTCAATCTTATCATAGGAAATGTCAAATATCAAAGCTAGCAATTATACCATGTCATGAAACTCTTAAAATTGCTTTCTAAGTATCCGAAGAATCCGCTTCGCGTACCAAGAACATACCCTCAGCTGTTAAAATAAACGCACAATTAATTTTTTGCGGCAAAATTCCGCCCTTTGTACGGTTGTTATTTAATCTCCAGCTAAGTTATTGAGTAAAAGAACAAGCCTTCATTAAACACACGACATTGTCGTTTCAGTGAGTTTATTCTTAGTAAAACTGACTAATTGCAAATCAAATCTATTACATGCTATTCAATTCATTGTTTACCTCTTTTTACACTCTATTTCTTCTATTGAAAAAGCTACCGGATTCAAAAGAAACTACTAAAAAAAACCTCCGAATTTGCGAGAACTTTCTTTTTATATACAAAACGTGTTTTGCGTATGGCAATTTCCTATCGCTCGTGGATTACTTGGCAAAAGCTCGGCAGATGATTCTTCTTTAACGTGTTATTTGCTATCATTCAGGGAACTAGTTTAAAATACTTTTGTTACTGATTACATTTACCAAACCGACTTTAGAATCAACTCTTTGCCTCACTACTGCTTTACATATAATTTCTTCTCTAACTCAAATCAAATATTTTTGTAACGAAAGGAGGAACAGTCCAATAGGTAGAGAGCGTTGACCAAATAAACGCGAACCAAATTTTGCATGGTGATTGTCTTTTACTCTGCCATTACGTAAACTCACACTCAACGTCCAGCGCGAGTCACCTTGAATCCTCAACGGTTCAGTTGCTTACGGTACAAAGTGTTTGATCTTAGAACGCTGTAAAACCAGCGTTTTCAACCTTCTTTTAAGTTTCTGTTCCAAAACATTTAGTTTAGCTAATTGTTCGAAAGAAATCGAACTTTGCGTCAGACATCTTTTAAGACGGGGACTGTCTATCCTGAATTGAATGTGTTAATGTGTGTACGAGTCCCAAATAGCACCCAAAACTTACGAAGAAGTCTTCTCTATGGCCTTTGTTTCTTCAGCTTCTAATCTTTCCGATTTCTCGCCCTGTGATTCCTGCTTAAAGCGCCTCCATTTTGCTCTGCGGTTTTGGAACCATGTTTTTACTTGACGCTCTGTTAACCCTAGGACCTTAGACAACTGTTTGCGCTCAGGTGGCGAGAGGTACTTTTGATTCTCGAAAATCTTCTCCAGTTCCATGGTTTGCTCGTTGGAGAAACGAACCTGGCCACCCTTCTTTTTCTGCGGCTTCGGTAGAAACAGATTCCAGGCACCTTAAAGTGAACAACGGACGGAAATGATTAGAGATGCAAGAAAGTAAGTAAATTTTTGCGGGTTAACTTGAGGTCGCTGTTGGGTGCGAATGAATGCTGCTAGTAATTTCCGTTAAGATTTACTCCCAAATTTTCACTTCTCTAAGCTCCTGGTGTAATCAAAAGACGAGGAATTTTAGATGCGATAAATTCTCAGTTTGGGGCAAATACAAGTTGCCTTCAGGAAGTACAGATAATATGGAATTCATACAAATCGATGCGGCTGTCATCTGTGCACGAGTTTTCAGTACTGAATAGATGGCAACAAATTGAAACGTCTTTCAGCGTAAACTGCGAAATGGTAGAGTACGGTTTAGACCAAGTGAAAAGCGAAAAGAATCAGTTAATAACCTAATGCTCTTATCACTTACTTCGCGGCCAAAAGAAAGAACTGTGGTTATCGAAACCCCAGCCGGGACGCCAGCTAAAACGCTAATCTTGTCAATGTTTCCCCTGCTAAGAGCAAACGCGCCAGAGAAATCAACTTTATCGACAGTGCTATGAATGCAATCTTGTCAATCGGCAATTTTGATATCTTGGTAAACGAAATAGATCACTCCACGCATACGACCTAGCCGCAGAGGTTTACCTTTTTAGATACCGCGGGACAATTCGGCAATCAACACTGTACTTACTGTGATCGTTGTACGCTTCGTAGACACTGGGTATTGTCGGCGCGTGGAAACCGAAACTCCTCGGGGAATGGTAAGGCGTGAATGGACTGCTCAAGTTGGTGTAAGTTCGCGGCGGAGCCAGATGAAACGCTGGGGTGAGACAGGGTGGTTTTGGTACCTCGCACATTGTTGAAGTGCAGATAGACGCTTGAGGTCGCTGCGATCCCGTGCTCAGAATGTCATCAATGTAGAACGACGATGAATTGTACGGAGGAAAAACATTGAGACTTCTATTCCACTCGCAGTGTTGCATTTTCAACGACTCCTTCGCTGTTTATAGACAGACGGTTTGCGTTATCGACCTTCTCGCTACAGATTGTGAATACTATCTATCCCTGCTGGCCTCTGTGCACCGCTATATATCTCGTCTCCAGTGCGCGTACGAACTGAAAGGACTGTGTTATGTTGAAATTAGCAACTAATGACCGCAATTTAGATGCACCCTCGTGATTGGCTGTTTGACTTATTAATAGATGTTCCGTTTGATAAGCGGTTGAGTGACAAAGCCAAGAAGTTGACCCACTTTGGTTCGCCTGTCACAGGAGACGACAGAATTCGCTTCCGTACTGTATCACTTGATAACAAAAAACATATACTTCGAGTTTACATAGTACTTTCCCTTTTTTAATGGGCCACGAAACGCGGTGATTCTCACACCAGCCGAGGCGCTTCACTAAGAGGATTCACACCGGAAGATTCGTTGGTCGACGCAGAGAAGTCCTCGTTGGCTATTAGATTGGTTCGTTTACGAGGTTTACAAGAGTGCGTTTGATAATGGATTGAACAGCTCCCTTGGGCGCCCAGTAGACTTGGGCTGACAATAGAGGGTGTTATCAATTAGTGATAATTAATTAGGAGACATTTTACAACATTCCTCGCTTTTATTTTTGTAATCAACATTCACAAAATTGCTTTGTTCGACCAGTGAGAAGACAGGTGCCGAGCATCGAATTCGAATTCAAAACCCAAACAAGAAATTATACCATGGGTTGGGTTTTAGTGAGGTAGAGTCGTACAGGAAATTTAAGCCGATCGAATTTTCTGAATGTGATTGCAGCAAATCTTAACCGCACTGCGAAATAGGAATACGCTTATAATCCACTCTGATATCTCTATGTTGGCGAGCTTGATATGCTAACTTAGTGAATCTGATCGACAACATGATACCCTCAATCCATTAATAATTTGCTGAACGTTTCTGATCAGCTGAGGTTAGTCTCTTGAAAGGCTCTGAATTGTCGGTTAAGTGATGATAGCAAAGAAACGAAGCGATGTGAAACTCGAAAATAACCTTGAATGCAACGATCAAACTTCCCAAAAAATTCGCGTCAAAAAGTTTGTTAAAAAATCTCGATCGAAAGTCAACAAATACAATGCAAGTTCTGCTCAGCCTAAATGAACCATTGAAAAGGAATCGCACATTAGTGCTAAAAGTTACACCCTTTCAAAAGTCATTTATATCTTTCAATGCCACCGCGAAACACGCTTGAAATCACAGTTGAAACACAATAAGCCTATTAAGAGAACCTTAAAACCCAGGTGTCCCAAAGCTATTATCTTCGCCACAGAGATCAGTAGCGTTTACGTGCTTACTGAGAGAGAAAAGATGCTATGGAAAAACTTTATCTATTTTCTTCGTTTCTTAACTTTATTACACAAGACTCGCGCTCAAATATGTTAAGTACCTGATGGCAAAAATTGGTGGCGATTGAAAATTTGATATGCAAAACTTATCTTAAAAAAAGCTGGACTTATAAAGAGCAATTAATTTGCCCAACATTGGCATTTTGAGGCATCGAGAAATGAGGCTACAGAAAGAATCAGGTATTCTCTGGCGTGTGTCGAGATCGTGGCCTGTGGTATAATTTGAGGTAACACAAGAAGCTGAAGGCGTGTGATCAAGACGAGCGAAGCTATTTTTTCTCTTAGCTGTCTCCTTAACACGAGGTTAGATGAAATCCCTGATAACTTAGCCCATTAAACATGGCAATTTCACAGCTCTCTCGAGAGTGAGTGTCTTATTTCAAAAATAAAGTAAACAGCCAATCTGGGCCTTTTATTAGAGGGTGTTTCACGCCACCTGCTAGCGTTGACGTCATTAAACGACGCCCAGAAAATTAAATCTCTACATGACAACCTCCATCGAAGCAAGCAAGGGTTCTGTTCGGGATTATGTGTAAGCGTGTTAATGTTGGTATTTTCTTGCTGTGATCATATCCTCTTGGGATCTGATCATCTGTACATTGTAAATATGCCTTTGTTAATGCTAAGAACCCAAGTTTTCGCTGATAAAGAACGCAAATTGCAAAGTAGTTCATGAGATGCGTGCATTCATTTAGCTTAATGTTACGTGTTTCTCTCAAAGTGGAGTTCGTTTGCTGTAATAACCAATTTTCTTGCTAGTATTGGCATGTCAGTTCAATAGACCTTAGGGATATTTTTATATCATGCCTTGTGTCAGGAACGCATTACTTGTGCCCCTGCTTGTGTACAATTTCTTAATATAATTTGAATTGTTTCCCGGAGGGCGGGTGGTGATGCTATTCAAAGAATGAGAATAAGTCAACTTTACTAATTCAAAAAGCTGAGGCACTTCGCGCAAGAATGCTTTAGTACGTTCCTCTATCGCAATATGTTCAATATATTATATTTTAAAAACTGAACGACATGCCTACCCGAATAACTCAAAAAACTGAATTACTTTTGGAGATATGGCCTTCATTGAATTGTAGCTGTTGCAGAAAAAACTAGGAGTGGATGTAATAATGATGTGATGTTATTTCCTGCGAGGAATTAACAGCAAGACAGACAGCTGTGTGGTATAATTATCATTTGATCTAAATCGCAAACTTTACACTAAGCAGAGAGCACGGTGTATAGGTTACAAATTGTGAAATCTGCTCCTGAGATTCCTTATTGAATGAATTGGATTACGCTGTTCAAATTGTAAGGAAGGAATGGGGAGTCAAAAGACAACTTTGCAATCGAAATCTTTGCGGCATTCGTGTGCAGCCATCACCTTACCGCACGAATATTATTAAATCTAATAGAAAAAAGATGTACGAAGTCCCTGAATTTGTCAACCTTCAGCATATAATTACAATATTAGGTTTTTCGTAGGGGATCACTTGTCATCGAAATGAAGGAGTGAAACAGAAGTTGAACTCTTCACAACAGAGATTAGACAGAGCTAGTCAAGAGTTATCTCTTGATCCGGAGGCCAACTGCACAGGGTTGCAGCGATTTTAAGTTTAGGGAAAATCTGTGCCTTGAGTCAAAGTTCAGTCAACATATGGCTGATGAAGAGCATACCTAAATTGCAGTCAAAAACATTTCATCGCTGAAACGTTCACCGACAGATGGGAGTACTCGCTGTAAACTTCACCAGTTGAGGATGATCTATCCCAAATTGCAGATTTTCATCAGACTTCCCCTTGAAACCTCCAACAACGAGAAGAAATACCACTCTGTCGATAGTTGTGTCTGTTATCGTATTGCGTTTCTGATAAGATACTCGTTTGGCTGTTTATCTACAGTCAACGCTGCTTGTAGAATAAAATTTCAATTTTCTCTGCTAGCAATATAGCCGAGGTCAAGTGCTATCCACACTTTTATCATCGGCAGCCTTTGGCGGATGTTATTAACCAGCTTGGGCAATTCTTGCCAAATTTTTTGGTCGGAGTTTAAAGAATACACGTTAAGATAAACGCACGGAAATAGTGTGTCAGTAGTCGATCTTCACCCATTCAATGGTACCTTCTAGAAAACCACTGTATCTTCATAAATTAACTCCCTTAAGCTGCCTTCTTCCTTTAGTTAAGCTTCTATACCTTCACTAAGGATGGTTCAAAACGGCTTAGAACGCATCAATATTCTTATAATCCCTAATTCGCTAACGCTTCTTTCCCGTTATTTCTCAGGGATTATCCTGATTAACAATAATTCTGAAAATATTTTCGCTAAGTGCATGCAAGCCACTCCTTTAACTACCTACCAATTTGGCTTTGACCTAAACCCCAAAGATTGCTTTTCTTAAATAGTTTAAGGTGGCAATTTTGATTTCCAATGATTTCATATCATCTGAACGGTCAATCACTTGAAAAGGAATTGATTTCTGAAAGAAGGAAAGTCAAATCTTGTAAACTCAAGGAATTTTAATCCAGGTTACCTAAGATTTTGAATTTGTAGACTCGAGAATTGAACAAAACACAGTTTGGACAAAAAATTACGATCATTTATCATACCGTGAACAAATTTTGTTGTCAAGAAGTTCTGCGTTCTAAGAGGAAGGTGTTTTTGTTCAAAGGGAGATCAACTGGGCTGCCGCACTCATCGAATTGTTACAGCGTATTTCAACTGTACTGTTTGGTGGAATGCAATTCTAGTTAATTGTCGAAAGCTTTCGTCATATCAGTGAATGGACTATTGCAGTTACACTAACACTGTATCGATGTGATGGACTTTTAATGGCGATGGACCCAGTGATAAAAAAGACATTCTAAAAATGTTGAAACATTGTTTACTGCAATTCACTTTTTGTGATAAAAAGTGCGTCAAAATCACATATTTGCAGCAAAGATTTTCAACGAGATAGTAAGAAATTTAGAGAAACAACCTTAATGTTCTACGTTTTGAACGAAAACTCGTCTTGAAGGAGGGGAAAACTGTCGAAGGCTTGCCTTTTGTTGAGGAGGGCACCTTTTGACCAAAGATTTTCGGTTCACGATTGTGCTGAAACCTCAACAAGAGAACAGTTTCCTGTGCAAGTCAAGTAGATCTGGAGTTTATCAGCCCCGGGGTTGATCAATAACACAGAAATTGAGCTTGTTGTTAAGACACCACTCCACCTATAATTGCTCATTCAAAACTCATTTAGATGCGGAGGTAACACTAGTCGTGAAAAGAAGCTGGTGAAGTTGTTCAAAATAGGCTAAGCCATCCTCGTAGCTGGCAAACACACACACACACACAAGATCCATAACATTAAGGAGCAGGAGTTTGTCACGCTTCCGGCCTTGACAAAGGCTGAAAGATATCCTCCTATCTGTTTGTCTGGTTACAATATACTGATAAGCAAAACTGAGCTACAAGCACGTTATCGCCTTGTAGAGACGCGTGGATTCCACAGGAAGCTAGTCTTGTTAAGGTGCACCAATGCAGGAATATTGAAACCAGATTCCACTAAATAATACAGCTAACACAATCGTTTCCGTTGGAAAGTCCTCTTTATCGGCTAAATTTGCTTTTCCTCCATGTGTTTATCCTGATTTGAACTGATCGGGATTACCATCACCAAATCCTCTTTGGCCAGCTGCTTGTGATTGTGTTCCTGTGTCAAAATTCAAAATAAAAAAAATCAATAGATGGAAAAATGCTGACAACAGTTCAAAGGTGACATCCCTTAAAAGCCAAGCAACAGTTTTAGATCTCAGCCATTAATCACGGCTAAATAACCGCAGCTAATCCGCGGTACCTCAGCGCACCACAAAAATCATTGCTTCACAAAAAGAGACAGGTGGAGCTGAACAGCCCACCGGTCCTGATAAATGTATTGGGACCTCCTTTTAGAAAACCTCTCTTTATTTATAGGTAGACACAAACTTTGTTTTCGTCTGATAACATCCTCCTTTAACTTTTGTATCTGTTTTGGCCGGCTCTCGCGAACATCCGAGTCGCAGTCGGAGTGTGAATCAGGTAAAAATCAAACAAATGGAATCCGTGATTGTGGCTTTGAGTGTTCCTGAACAAGAATTTGGCGAACAGTGACAAAAACATTTATTGAATCTGATATTGTGGAGCTCTTTGAAAACTAAAGATATCCCCTGTAAATTATCATTAACTATTTTTTAAGTAAATACGAAAATATTTAACATTATAATTCTGGAGAAATGATTAGCACCTACCTCTTTTTGATCAAAAAGAAAAGGGTATTTACCCTTGATCTCAAGTAGTGGAACTGGTTGTTTAGTCAGGTATAATACGTGAGGTCCATCTTTCAAGTCAACAAGGGATACCTCTTTTCTCTGCTTCTGATTGCATCCAGCTGACGTTTCTCATGGGATGTATTATCCTCTCCCTCAATGTGTTGGAGCCCTCAATATCCCCTTTCGCAGTCCTTTGGCTGGTTCCGCTTTTTTGAGGCTCCTATCTGAATTATTGCGTTTGCGAGACATCACCACTGGATCAGGGACATCACCTCGGCATTCTTGCTCTTCTCAGTTAATATTCTATTTCAACTTTCCTGTTTTTGAAGGAGAATGATTACACCAATGGATTTATTTTTATTCCCTTTTTAAAATATTGAATTAATTAATTTTAACCCTAACCCTAAGCTTATGGTCTAACTCCAAATCAACTTTTCTCTCAAACTTTTATTTCTTGTCTCTTTCTCGAACGAATCGGTTTAAAGTCAAAAGCTTGTGACCGAGACCGAGAGACCGAGCAATGGCTGGGGTGCACGGTTATTCTCCGGAAAGCCAACTCAGACTTATCACCAGTCCCTGATCCCTACACTGTGCCATGGGATGAGTTAAAGAATACTTCAAGGACTGTTTTACCCCTAAATACGGATCCCAAATGAAGTTTTAGAGTTCAGACAGAGAGAGATCCAGCCTAACACAGTTGTTATTAATGAGCTAAACAAAATGTGTCAAATTGATCCACTACATGCCAAGTTTAAGGGGGGCCAAAGTAAACATATGAAAGTCACGCTTAACAAAAGGCTCTATCGGATATTGCGTAACACCCGCTGTGACCCGACTGACTAAAGAATCTGCGAATTTTAGAGGATTTCGCTCTCTCTCTCTTTCGTTTAAAGAACGTTATCGTTCTGTTACCTCCAGATTATAAAAGTAAAATCTTTAGGCTTTACGTAGAGGTGAAAATTATACCGGTAAACAATAATCTTGTACTGGCAAATAAATATTTCGTGTTGCTGACTTGCGATATTTTACGAAGCTTTGACTTCATTTTTCGAGATTGGGGAAAGACTCTGG